GTCACTGTTCTTCATCAGGATATTTGGGGCTTTTGGTTTGAAGCATCCCCGGTTCAATTCATGGCGTCCATGAGTTTCACCATGCTTTGAATTGCAGTTCTGAACCGGTCTTCCATCCCGACTCGTCTTCATCATCGTCGGATCGATGATTCTTCCTTTCCTGCCATTGTCGAAGTTTAAAATTTTCAAACCCAGAATCTCAAATCCAGAATTGGGAATTTTCATTCTAGGGATTCCTGAGTCGAATTGATGATACTTACAGCTTCTTGGGACCTTCCTTGAAGATTCTGCATCGGTCGTTTGTGTCGAATCATCCCAACCTCTTCAACCAATTTTATTTCATGTTTGAGCACTTTCAAGGGTGACTTTTCTCGATCTGGATTATGCAAAGTAGGTACATTTGTCTCAATCTAGTTCATGGAAACGCTACCTGGATCGTTGGGTTGGATCTACATGCTCCCCAAGTCTCCTCCCAATTTACCCACTCTACTGCTCTATTACAGCAAAGTTTTACAGACCAGTCGACAACGAGGCTCCATCTTCTTCTTGTACGCCGTCAGCATGAAACGTCGGGCTGTCCAATTAGCTTGAGTGGTTGGCTTAGGTTTTTTTCCCCTGGATTCACCTTTGGATTGTCGTCGACTAGCCTCTTATTGTCTCTGATCTTCACGAACTTCGTCCCTTGATGGACCTTATAGCAGTTCGCCCACCATAGTAGGAATTTTCGTCCACTGACATCCTATGACAAAGGTTTTTAGTAGGAATTTCTTCCCACCGTGACGGACCTTGTAGCAGTTCGTCCCACTATAGTGACATGCGCCTTTTCGAAATGCCAGGACCTTCCTAGAATCAATGCGCAGCTTGCATCGGTGCGACATCGAACAAAATTTTGTCCTTGTATTATCCGATTTCAAAACTTACTAGAGCTTGCTTTGCCACTCTGATGGCTCCATAATCGTTGAGCCAGTGGAGGTTGTATGGCTCAGGATGCTTGATCGTGCCCAATTCGAGCTTGTTCACCACCTCTTAGCTGATCATGTTTGCACAACTTCCTCCATCTATGATCATGGAGAAAAATTGGGCATTAATAAAACAACGAGAATGAAACAATTTTTCTCTCTGAACTGAATCCGGCGAAGTTTCAAGGGTCAAGACCCTTCTGCTGACAATCATAAGCTTTCCAGTTGGAGCTTCTTCAAACTTGATTTCCTCGTCGACCTCTTCTTCCTTGCTTTTGATTTACTCATCATCGGTGATGTACTCACCATCTCGGATGACCAGAGTTTCAGAATTGGGACACTGGTTGGCTTTGTGTCCCCTCCCATGCCATTTGAAGCACTGGATGCTTCCTATTCGTTCATCCGTAGTGGAGGAGCATTCATGGGAGACGATTTGTTATTGTCGGGCCGTGATTGAGGTGAATTGGAATCAACGTTCCACTCTGTTGCATCTCCGTGTTAATGGCAAGGTGCACCACCTCTTCCATATTGACAAACGATCTCAGGTCAATTTCATGTTGAATTTCATGGTTCAGTCCATGGAGGAATTGTGAAATACTTGCCTCTCTGTCTTTACGGACATCGCTCCGCATTAAGTGTAATTCCATCTCTGGAAAGTATTCTTCTACACTCCTTGATCCCTGTTGAATTCCTTGAGAGATTCATGAAGCTCTCGCTAGTAATAGGCCGGAACAAAACTGTCTCTCATCAATCCTTGCAAATCTATCCAAGTTGTAATCTCCAGCTGCAAATTTCTTTGTCGTCATAGACGACTGTGCTCCCGCCACTGAGCAGCATAATCAAAAAATTCGTACATAGTAAGGCAACCTTCTGCTGCTCGCTGTAGTGCCCACACTGGAAGAAAAGGATTACTTTCCTCTCCCAATCCAAGTACGTTACTGCGTTCGCCATGCCCTAAAATGCCGGAATCGAGAGCTTAATTCCCGGTGGAATGGTCGGCTCTACTTCAGACTGTCGTTCTCGATGGCACATCGATCTTGGTGCTGACGTTCATGATTTGGTTCCACCACGACTAGACGTCGTTCAAGCTCTTCTATTCTCCCCAACAACTCAGGATTTGCTGCTGGGTTTTCCTGGTCAAGAATTTCCCATGTCTCAACCCCAACTATCGGTGGAACAATTGTGTCGAACAACCTATCAATCTCCCTCATGAATTGATCCAATTGGGTCTATAAACTTGCATTAACTTGAGCGGCCAAGGTTGCAATAGCTCCGTCGTGTTTATTTGCTTCTGCTCGAATTCTTACTCTGTTTGTCGACGATCGATGGGATCTTTTGATCTTGTTGTTGAGGCATCTGGTCCTCGAGCCTTAGGTCTCTCCACTGTGTTTGAATCGAGCGTCCGATACCATTTGATGCAACCCTTAAGGCTTGATTTGAATCAGAGTGGCTCAGCCAAGGGTCAATCCAAAGATTGAATTGAACCTTTGAATAAGACCACAAAACCAGAGGTAGCTTTTGTGTTTAAGATCGAAGCTTTCGTGCAACTTTCACAAAGGGAAAAAGGCTCGAAATTTATGGGTTGATGCTTGGTCACGATCAGGGTGTGTAACTGATCGATCCAAGTTAACGAATTGCTCAGAATCCACTAAGAAAGTCAATCAATTCGTCAAGCAAACAAGCTCAATGAACCAACTCGGGGTTTTGTATTCATTCATCAAAATCAGAGTTTACGACGTGAAGTAAAGGCTTGAATAACTCTAGCTATGTCTAACAAACTAACAAGGAAGTTCTAAATAAAGTACAACTCGAAAAGGAATAAAAAACTAGCAAAAGAAAGGAATCCGTAAGCCACAAGGAAAAGGAAATAGTATGGTGGTGCAAGTCAGAAATCATGCTCCATTTGATCTTGTATGCCTTCCATCGAAGTCTTAGAAGTAAGTTTTCACTCATCCAATTCCTTTTCTTTGTAGAAGAAAACACATACTTTCATGTGGTGTAGCCCTCTGGCCTCAACTCTCGCTCATCTAGCACGAATAGAGCTCCAAAGAAGGCTCCAGGTTTTGAGGTAGCAACTTGAGGGCTTTGGAACATGGCTTTAATGACTTGATTTGGACCAACCCATCCTTCCAGCTGGTAGATAAACAGTTCTTCTTCAATCCCATACTTCCTTTTTTGTATTTTCATAGAGCAATTTGGAAGAACCAAGTTGGCAAAGTAGGTATCCTGAAACAGACAAAGTACTTAGCAAAATTTTAGGGTCCTTGTTGCTCTGTGAGATTGCTTCTCGATCAAGCAATTTTAAAGTGTAGATTGATCAATTTCGGATCATATCATAGTAGGAGTATGCTAACTATCATTTACGACTTTCAACATTGTGTACCACAAGATATCACCAGCATACCAGGGTGGTATGGGGTGGTATTTTTTGGTACTGTATTTTTCCCCCAAAAATTTATAGATCCAATAAAAACGAATGAGATACCATATGGTTTGAAGTTGGTAACAAGAGGTATGAAAAAAAATCTCAAAAAATATTGAAAATGGATCTCAAACTGTAGAGCAAAACGAACTCGTTCTATCTATGCAAAAAAAATCCAAATTCAAAACGAAGAAGATAAGAGTCGGTTAAAAAAATAGAGAAAATTAAAAGTCTTTAAATCTCAACAGTTAGATTTAAATTTTATGGGTTCACTTAAATTCAATATAGTACAGATTTAGTTATGAAATGGTGCATAACCAAACCTACCTCAACCGTTTACCAGAACGGTAACTAGTGGTCAGCGACGGATCTAGGGGGCCGCCCCCGGGCCACGACCCAGCCCTCCCTCGATCCGGAGCTAGTATAGCTAAGCATCTCCTCCTTCCATTTGCTAAAAAGGCACAGCTGGAATCTAATAATTTGTAGTTTTTGAGACTCTAAATTTGTATGTATCTGAGTTGCTTTAAAAGTGAAGAACCAAGTTCTTGAATTAACCACTCATAAAATGGTCGCTAAATTTTATTTAATTGGCCACCATTTTAATAAATGGTCGCCAAACAATGACTTTTGACGGCCATTTGAAAATGATCGCATTGAAACTGGTCGCTGAATATAAGTTTTCTTGTAGTGTAGATATAGGTCACAAGATTGATGGTGGAGTCAGAAGTTGAATTTATGGGTGTTTCTTTTTAAAATATAACTGTATAATTAAAAAGCAATATATAATTAAAAATAATAATATCTCAATAATTTATTGATAGAAAAAATATTCAAATATGATTTTTATAAACAAAGAGAACATATTCTAAATATACTGTGAGAATTATTCAGTTGGTGATGCAGGAATAATTGAAATCACGCGGCCAACCATAAATCAAATTTATTCTCTTTGTCAAGACTCAAAATCGACTTGGTGATAATGAGTTAGTGGAACGGAATAATAATAATTTCAATTTTAATTTTAATTTTAATTTCGCTCATCATTTGTCTTGTCATATTCAAAAATATTCTCACCTACATCGCATAGCGATACCACCATTACTTTTAATCTAACAGTCTCTTGGATTCTATGTACTCATCATAATCTTTCATTTACCATATTGCAAACACACGGCAGTAGCTTATTACAATCTTCAGTAAAACCATATCGAAAGTGTACCAAAAAAATCAGTAATAAAGTATTTTATGCTTAAATTACGATTTAACCGTGATTCAATGATTTCACTGGTACCTTACAATTTTTCAATCCTATCAGCAGTAACTTAGTTAGTTTGTTACTGCGCTTCATTTGTGATGATCACTTTAAAAAAAATAAAGGTATTCGTATTCTGTTTCCTCCCTCGAACCAGTTGTTTCATTCCAAGGAGTAGAATTACATTAACATTTTTCAGTTACGTTGTAGCATTAAGTAAGTACAAATACAATGTAGTAAGGGATCTTTGATCGTAAGAAAAAAAAAGAACAAGCAAAGCCCTTAGTTGGTACAACATTGTATGATGAAAGTAATTATCAGGTATATATTATTGCAGAGGATTAGGTGATGATGAAGATTAGATGGGCTAGAACCAGATGGCATTTGCATGTATAAGCATCTGCTTGAGGGAGCCATCGAGGTGAAGGGACAAGATCTCTTTGGCGGAGCCCACGAATCTCCCTCCGATGAACACGGCGGGCACGGCGGGGCAGCCCAGACTTCTGAGGGCCCACTCCAGCTCTCTTCCATGGGCCTCGCGATCCAGCTCGTGGATGGCGGGGCTGGCCCCGAGCTCGTAGAAGAGCTGCTTGATGCTGTGGCACATGCAGCAGGAGCTCTTGGTGAAGATCACCGCCGCCTTCTTCGACGCCAACTCTCTCACTACTCTATCCATTTTTGCTAATTAATTAATTGTTTGTCTCTATTCTATAGCTAAACAAGGAGAGCAAGGGTGATGGATGGCAGTTGCTATCTCGCTGTTGAGGTGCGGTGGAGAGTCCGAGACGATTCATCGCCACTTATTTATAATGGAGACGCAAAACCTTATAACATAATAAAATTGGATATTACAAGATTTCCTCCAAAAAATTATTTTTTATCTTTTAATTTGTTTATGAAAATTGAACTAAGAGATAACGATGGACGTGAGAGACCAAATTAAGTGCATGCAATGCAAGAGGAGGAATCAATGGAGGAATTTGTAAGTTATCCTGTAGGGATGAGGATGGGGTGGATGCTTTCTGTTTGCGACGCGTCAAATTGTTAAGGAATTTTTGCCCCCAACTAAGCTATAGCCTATAGCGATGGAATGTCAACGAGCGAGGGGGATAGAATCTTCTGCCCAGCAATATGGCTGGCTATCCATGGACTACCTGCTTGCTTGAAAAAGATTCGCCATTATAGTTTGCATTATGATCAACGACGTCTGTGTGTGCAGTGATGATCGATGTGGAGAATATTTGTGAGGGCTCTTCCACACCAAAGATGCATGGGAATAGATATGGGAGCATATGATGACGCAATTATTCCGAGCTATATATATCCAGTGTAAGTAATATATATTTGGGGTTTCTTAATTATATTTTGTGCTCTGATTTTTATTACCTTCAATTATTGTGGCCAAAAGGTGCATGGTGGCTGGGAGTGACTGGGGGGAGAGATAGGTTCCTAGTGTGGTTGCGTGGCATGTATACTTTAGAGTTTGAATTGGGTCATTTCCATCGATTCATCTCTATTCGGGATTTCAGAATCTAAATGCTGGGCTGATGTGGAGAAATATGAGAGTTTATCCATTACATTCCCCAAAATACAACTCCCCCTTTCTAGCATTTCTAAAATCCAATATAGGTATTGGATTGGTTTACGTCACAATTGTGTATTCAAGTTTCTGATTGCTAGAGCCACTCACAATCTTTGGTAATGGATCCTCTAGAAAGTTAGATACATATAGATGGATGACAAATAAGTTCTTCTCGCGCCTCAGAACGATAAAATCGAGTAGCGCATTTGTCAATTTAGTATAATTTGTGTGAATAAACAAGTCAGATAATCGTACATCGAAGAGAGTTGAATATCCTAGATTCATTGAAATCGTACACATTAAATTATCAATGAAAATTATAGCTAAGATAACAATTGAAAAATAGAAGAAATTAAAATAGTTGGAACTCGTATTTGAAATCAAATTCTAGGTTCTACTAGAGAGAATTTAGTTTCAAAGAGATACACATCGAACTTCCACAATACCTCCTCGTCTACTTGAATTTGAATTTCACTTTACTATTTTCATATCATCCAAAAAAACACTTGAACAAACAAATAAGAACAAGGAAATCATGCATGTAAGGAACAAATAGATCAAGAACTCATCGTGAGAGGTCATATGAAGAGGTGGCCAACTTTCGAGATGATAAAAACAATCGGGAAATGGTACCCCGAGGGAACCGCAATGTCGATCATGGAGGACGAGGGACGGAAAGCTAAGGATGAGGCTATGAAGACAAAAGAGAAATTTGATTTTGAACCAAGACACTAACCATAGAATTCCCCATGTTCCTCGGGTTTGAGGATGCAACCTTGTGCCTCTTAAGAGCTGAGCCTTGGTTTCAACATCAGGACATCCCATCCTTGAGTTCCAAGAACCGATTGGTGTGGTCTCTTAGAGCCTCATGTTGAGGCGGCTAAGTTGGATGTTGTTCTTAATTATAGAGATAATTAGTCTCGTCTTGGTCTCGAAGTTATTGAAGGCAATGGATGACAGATAGTTTAGTCTTCCTAACAACTTGTCGTGCTCAACTCAATAAAAAAAAACAAACAAATACAAAAAAAAACTAGAGTAACAAATAGTCTACTTTTCCTAACAACTTGTGCTCCCCAACAATGGCGCAAAAGACTTGACTCCTTCCTATTGTGGCTACTTTCCCAACCGTGGCCAAGTGCAACCACGATTGGGTCCAGTATAGTGGAACTAAAGTTGATTATCAACCCAGACAGCAAAATAGATAGGTGAATGACTATCAAGATTGTCAACTCAAGATTTATACCACGTGAATCCTATTTCTGATTGAGCTCCCTTTCAAGTTACTCAACCTCACTTAGAGCGGACTATCAGGAGGAAGAACTTCAACATTCTAGCGAAATAGAACGTTTAGGGCATATGCCAAATATATTTCCCTCTATTGGGCTATCCGAGGGAGAGTTTCAACATCCGACTCTTGAAATTTGCACTCCAATTGTGATTTGAAGCTCTGATTCTCACCTAGGAATCTCTTTCATCATTTTCTCTCTCTACCGAGCAAATGCTCTTTATCACTCTAGACTCCCCTCTTTGAAATATGATCTTTTGCTCCTTGATGTAGCTAGAAAGTGCAAAGCCCATGCTTGCCCATCACGATAGTGAGGTTCGTAGCGAAATCACGAGGTCAGCTGAATACGCATCATTTAACTTACAATCTTCACGACCTGTGTGTATTCTCAGTGTGCGAGGACGTGAGATTTTCAAGCTCCCATGACAGGACTTTGGCTTTTTGTAACCTTGCAATCCTAAAAAATTTAGTGTTGATGTCACGGTTGGCAAACAATGACATTTTTACATCCCAAGTGCCAATGAGACATCAGTGGCCTCTTAGAATCCATGCAATTCTTAGGGATTTTATGTAGATTTCACGGCCTATCCGTGAGAAAATGCTTTTGACCATGAGTTTTGACACTTTTCTCCATTTTGCCTCGTTTTGGCTATCTTTTTTCGACTCTCATTCCAATTTCACCTGCTAAGACTTGAAACACGCTCAAACATGCACAACCTAGTGTAAAACGGCCTCAAGGATGTGGAAACACAAGTCAAACAATCAAAAAGGAGGGGTATAAATATGTATAATTGGGCTTGAATCAAAATCCCCCACACTTAACTGTTTGCTTGTCCCCAAGCAAACCTAGCTCAAACTATTGCAACTTTCGAGACTCTCACAATGGTATGTGACACGCTAAAACACACCACCAAACGGCGACCAAGTGTAATCGTAGTCCGGAAATGCAGTAAAGTGGCAAGCTCTAATTGTCAACCCGAGGTCTAGATCTACTGCGTACTCCGTGATTATCTATTATCTAGCAAACTAAGTCGAGTGATTGTGATTTTAACTAAAAGCAGCAAGAAAGTAGGAAATGGTTCAAAGTTCTTTAGCAAGGGAAGAGTCACTCGAGAATGAGTCCCCCTGGCTCCTTAGTTAGGTCGAGGTTGTAATTACCCTGGGTTGATTAATTGTTGATTAAACTGCAGAAGATCCGATAGTAGCTTGGAATCTCTTAAGCTGACCAAGCCCTCTCAGGCAGGCTAACCGGCAGGCGACTAACCTTCACCGCGATAGACTACTGAGGCAATAAGCACAGAACCCCACTACTAGAATTGGGTTCCAGTACAAAGCAGTAAATCGATTAAATCTCGTATAACCAATCTACCACTATCGATTGATGAAGCTCTAACAACCTAATCAGATTCTATCTATCTCAGGTTGCAGCAGAAATCAAGAAAAGATGATCCGACTTCAATAGACTTAATGAATCATGCATCAATCGATTAAAATCAATCAGTATATCAATCCCAAGTCATTACAATCAAGATTCCTAACACATGGAACTAGGGTTCTTCATATAGTGAGAGAAAGTTCTACTCCATAGAGAGAGAGAGAGAGAGAGAGAGAGAGAGAGAGAGGAAAACATAAATCAGAGTAGTCAAACTCATAAAGATGAGGATAATCTGCTCTAGGATGTTCGATCTTCACTCCTAGGGATGCAATCTGGGCTTCAATGGTGAGAAATCCACTCCAAATAGCTCATAGGGTTTGTTCTTCGCACTTTCTCTCTCTAAAGCTCTGTTTTTTGCTCAAAAACTTGATCATCCCAAAATATGAGCTCCTCGCCAAATAAAACCCGCACAGGTGCAAAACACGGCCTCTAAACCCAAAAACACGGCCGTGTTTTAATCACAAGAGGCCGGGTTTTTGAATGGCGATTCTGTGGAGGGCAAAGGAAAAACACGGCCTCTAGCTCAAGGCCGTGTTTTTCACAAATGAGGCCGTGTTTGAGGGCGTGTTTTCAACGGCTCTGCTGCCCGTTCTCGCGATCGACTTGTTTTCGCCTCTAAATGTCCCGAAACTCGTCCCAAGGCCATATCTATGTACTAGGACCTGAAATATGATAAAAGAACACAACCTAGCGTAAAATAGGCCAAGGAATGACCAATGACTAAGCTAAACTATCAAGAAATGAGAGGGAAAACATGTGCGAATATGGTGTTATCAAATTCCCCCACACTTAACCGTTTGCTTGTCCCCAAGCAAACCAAGTCGGATACAAGGTAAGCTCAACAAATTTCAATCATACCAACTTTGGGGACATATCATATAGGCACAGAACACGTGAATCATACTGACTTTTGATCATTGACATATGGACAACTCAACAGCAACCTAGACAACCACCACAGAGGACATTCGAGTGCAGCAAAATCGGGTAAAGGAAGAGGAATACTTTCTGTTCACCAACCAACATAGACTTGACTCAAACACTTAACCAAGACAGGCATCGCATGCATCAAACTCAAGACATCAGAATCAAGACTGAGCCATCTAGGTCCTCACCGTGGTAAAGAGCATAAAAAACAAGGAAATGAATCACTCACTCTCAACCAGCGGGGTCAGGACAATTTGATGCAAAAAATGTGCATGCTTATTCTCTCAAATCCTAACGTCTCTTCACCATGATGGCAGCCTCTAAATGTTAGAGTTCACACAAGGGATGTCACCAATAACTAATCCGGAGGTCTTAGACACAGCTTCAACTGATTGGCTAGGGTCTTGGACATGGGAGGAAAAGCCTTTTAGGTGGTGGAAGTATTCA